GAACAATGGAAATATGGTTTGCACAGGAGCCTTGGTTCTGACCGCAGCTCAGCTTGGGGAACCAGGCGAATAACCAGACTATGGTTCGAACAGGGCCTCGTGGCCGAGCATGGAAACAATCAAATAGCTTGAGAATGATTAAAATCGAAAGCAGCGGCGCGGGCTCCGTCGTGACCAGGTGCAGTGCCCGAGTCGGTAACAGTGACTCGTAGTAACAATGTCTCGCAGGCTGACCACCCGCTCGAGTGAAGCTTGCTCCCTTCCCTCTCTCTCTCACTCTACGGACTCCCTCTGTCTACTCTTTCCCTCTCTCGTCCCTTCTGTCTCTCACCCCCTCTCTCTCTCTCTTTCTCTCCCTCTCTCTCTCTCTCTCTCTCTCTCTCTCTCTCTCTCTCTCTCTCTCTCTCTCTCTCTCTCNTCTCTCTCTCTCTCTCTCTCTCTCTCTCTCTCTCTCTCTCTCTCTCTCTCTCTCTCTCTCACACACACACACACACACACACACACACACGCACAAATAGAACCGCTCAGTCTCCCCTTCTTCCAACCCCTTGCCCCGTGGGTGTACACGTTCCTTGTTCCCCTCCTCGGTGACCCCCGAGGGCGTCGGAGCTACGAACGAGCCCTGGCAGTTGTACTTCCCAGAACTGTTCCAGCGCGAAAGCCAATTCGCTGACACTCCCACAGACACCCTCCTTGTCCACAGTGATCCAAGACTGCGTTCTTGCTCGTTCAGTTTCCTATAAACAGGATGGGACCCAGACGAGGTTCTTTACGTATTGCACAACTTAGCAGGAGCCTGCATGTCGAGCCAGCCGAAGTGACGAAGCCGCCAAGTCACGTATAGCAGGAGTCCGCGCCGAAGCTACGTCGCACGAAACACGAAGCACGCGGCTCCACGTCGCATGAGGAACACCGAACACCGATTCAAGAGGCAGGAAACCCTGAGGCACGGATCAAGAAGAACGAAGCACCAATTCACAAAGCGCGCAGCCCCAGTTCGCGAACCACCAATCCACCGAAGCGCGAAACACCAACCACCAAAAGCGCCAAGTCACCGATGCGCTAAGTACGAGGCATTCACTGAACACAGACAGCGGAGCGCCGAAGCACGGAGCACTGATGCACGGAGCGAAGGACCGAAGCGCAAAGCGAATCAAGCTCGCAAAACATCAAAGAAGCCAGCTCCCGGAATGCGGAGCACGAACCACTAAACTAAGTCGTAGCGAAGTACGAAGCATGGCGTACCAAGCTCAAGGCCCACAAAGAACCGGTTCGGAAAAAACACCGAGTTCAAGAAGAAGCTCCAAACATGGATCATGTGCCGCACACCGCAGCGAGCTCTTTGTGCTTTTCTCCGCGCATACTGCCGTGCGCTACGAGCTTTCCAACGCGCGCTATCCCCGCCTCCCCGCTAGCGCCTCGATAGGACTCAGCCCCCAGCCAGTCGTCTTCACACACGGTAGCCGATTAATACTAGCTCAAATGCGAAAGTACCTGGCCGCTCCTCAGGCCAGGTGCATGTAACTTCTTTCACGCGTCTCCAGTCACCCAGTCTCCGTTTCTCCGTTACTCACGCGAGCTCTGCTAGCTCCCCCATCTCTCTCTCTCTCTCTCTCTCTCTCTCTCTCTCTCTCTCTCTCTCTCTCTCTCTCTCTCTCTCTCTGTGTCTCTCTCGCTTCCCTCTTGACACTGTCGCCTTTCGCCCACCTCTTCCCGAGCCACCGTTCGCGTACCTTGCTGTATCTCGAATGTATACAGCCGTGACCCCGGTCAAGTACGTTCCAAGAGAAGAAAAGCACCCGGCTTCGATCACAGCCTTCGCCTTCGACGCGGCCGGTCGCCCTTCTCCTTCGTTCTCTCTCTCTCTCTCTCTCTCTCTCTCTCTCTCTCTCTCTCTCTCTCTCTCTCTATCTATCTATCTATCTATCTATCTATCTATCACGTACGCCCGGGAGGGACAGGCTGAGCCCCGCGCACTCTCTCCAGCTCGCCCACTCTAGTTCGCTCGATCGGCAGCGGCGCACCACTGAGTGCCAGACGCGAGCGCGTGAGTTCTCTCCCCGTGAGCGTGTCTCCTCACTCTTCTTTCTAAATATATACTTCTTTTTCCTTTCCTCCTGTCCTCCGCATCGATCCTCACCCTCCTTATTTCCTCCAATCACTCCGCCCCTTCTCTCGCTGGCTCAAAGGCTTCTGATATTCTCGCCATCATTTTCCAAAATTGGAAATCGCCCGCCGTAGTTGTCCAAAATTTTACCAATTACCGCTTCTTTCCAAAAGCTCGGCAAGTGTCTTCCTTCTCGATCCGTTCTTTCCCTCGTCGTGGCCAGCTATTGGTCTCCGCTCTCCACTTCAGCATCCGCCTTCCCCGTAACGACCTATGCCACCCAGTCCAGTTCGCATCGTCAGTCAGCCCCTTCCTCCCCCATTTTGGTCAGGAGCTTAGTGCATGCACCTAGTATGATATCCGGTCTAGGTGCATTGGTCTTCAACCAACTTCTTATCTGTTCGTCTTCCTTTACTCGGGAGTCTTCACGTCAGCTGCCGGTACGAATCCCAATCCGGAGCGTCGCCTTCCAACCGGCTTCTTACCTGTTCGCCTCCCTCTACTCAGGAACTTAGTGCGTGCATCTGGTACAACACGCGGACTCGGAGCGTCGATTTTTGGCACAACCTCTTGTTGTTACCTGATTCTCGGCACAGGCCGACTGTTCGCATCCCTTTTTTCAGCCCTCCTGTTTGAGTGCCGCCCTCCTCGTGCAGACCGTTATCACGAACCGATTTTGGTGTCTACCTTTTCCCTCCTTTATGTTGTTTCTTGTTCATTTCATTAGGCCGCCATGGCCCTAAAGTTGTGACCACACTAGTGGCGAGCACCCCCTCCCCCTTCGTTTTCTAAACCTGCCCATTCAAAATTAAGGCAACCATCGCGTGCCAAGTGGTCGGCCACTCAACGTTGCCCCCGGAGATCCCCCGCCGAAGCCCACGACAGCGTGGCCGACAACCTTCTCCGCCCCCCATCCGTGCCGCCAATGTCTATCCAACCGCTTCCTCACATTTCTCTCCGATCCCTCTCCACTTCCATCAGCCAATCCTGTTTCCCCGCGGCACCCTCGTCGGATCATACGACATTCGAAGTTTCTTCCTTCCGGATCCCGCCCATCTCCGTATTCCTCCTCGTGCCGGCATTGTCCGCCCTAGTTTGATCCGTAGGCCCGGCCGGCCATGCTCTTGTGGACCGACCTTCGCATGGGAGAACCGATCCCCCCTTGTTTCTAGCCGAGAGCCCCTCCCCCCCCTCGTTGACTCGCAAGTCGGGCGCGGCTCTTCCTCTTCAGCTCCTTAGCCTCAACCGACTCGTCATCTTCGTTCCCTCCCCATTATTTTCACAAGCTCTTTTGTAGCTCGGGCCCCCGATCGATTCCAGAGAATTTTCCGACAGGCCCCCACGCCCTTCCTTGGCGCTTGGTTTACCTCTTCCTTCGTGGCGGCCCCCCTTTCCCCGGTGCACCAACTCCTCCCAGGACTCGTAGCCATCGCCATGTGGCCGCCCCCTCGCATTGTCGTAGGCGCTTTGTGGTGTGGTCGTAGTATCCGAATCGCGCCGGCCGTCGCGGCGTCTCACCCGATCCCCCAGTACCGCAAACCAGGCTAGGTACTAGCAGACCCCGCCACGTTCATCCGCGGTAGTCCGGTGGTTATTCACAACCAAGGTCCCGGACCTTCACCGACCACCCGTTTTGATCTGATCAAGGCCCATTCCGATGCACACCGTCCGCCCTATATTTCTTTTGATTTTGACCCCAAAAGCTCCAATCTTTTATGGTCCGCCCGTGCCCGCTCGCGACCAAGGCATGGATCGTCACTCCAGCCAATCGAAAGGTTAGTATGAAGGCCCCGATGCCCGAGGTCATCCAAAAACACCATGTCCACACGCACGCATATGTCAAAACCAAGCAAAACCCGCAAAAAAAAAAGAAAAGAAATGTTTCTTTTTCCAAAAAAAAAACCCTCGGCTGTCAGACAGCCGCCCGACAGCGGCTGTCGGAGGTCCATCAAACGAACACACCAACCAATACCCCCCACCCCCCAAGATATGTGCGCTATGGTTGTTGGGGGTGGTGGCGGGGTTCTTTAAAGCAGAATTAACCATTGAAAAAAGCACGGGCTTTCGATTACAAAATCCAACACAAATATCTGAAGGTTCCTTTTCTATAGATGCAATTTTCATGGGGGGGGAGGGGGGGAGGTGAGTTTCGTGCCATCGCACTTTCGTGATGCGCGCGTATTTCCGTCGGGGGATGTGGATGGCGGCTGTTTAGGGGGTTGCCTTCCGAGGCGGGGGGTCCTTCGCCGGTAAAATTGACGAAGGGTGGTGAGAAGATGGGTGGCGAGGTCACTAGCCAGCGGAGTGTACCCCATGACCTTTGGCCTTTCGTTTCTCGGCCCACGACGAGCCCCACGACAGCACCGTTTCAACGAGAGGGCAATGGAGTTTTCGTTCAACAGTTGTGTGAACTGCTCGCTCGTCGCCGTGCACGAAGCACGACTGTGTGTTTATAAGGATGCGATCGTCCTTGCCAAATGCACGACTGACCTCAGAACGCGTGCACCATGGTACACATGTCTGCCTTCTCGCTGTCTCGCCTTCACCTGCTCCTGTGTCATCTCCCAGCTTCTTCATCTCTGCGGCACGAACGTTGTCGCACGCTGCGCTCCGCCGTCGTCGACGATCCACGCCTTCCGGCGGGTTCGCTGTCACAGTGACGTGCGCACGCCACGAAGGCCAGTTTGCGCCATATTTTCTAGCAGTGTTAGACGTTGTCGACGTCTTTCTCTCCGCCTCCATCGCCTTTCTCGCCGTCGTCGCCACCCTCGCCGTCGTCGCCACTATTGCGGTCGTGCCCTCCCCTCGTCCACGGGGCAATTCACCATCGTCGTTGAGCACACACCGGCGCGCGACATTAGAACTTCATCGCGGCGTTGTTCCACCGTGGGGTACGCACATGTGATCAATCGTCGTCGCCACCATCGTCACGTTCGCCGTCTTTCCCGCCTTCAACGTCGTCGTCCTCGACGGTCATCGCAGCAGAGACAACGATCCGATCTGCACGACACGTTTGGCCATCGACGCGGAGATCTTCAGTCGGTGGGGAGGTCAATCTTGAAGCGGGTCTGTCGCGCGTCATGTCGTCCCGCGGTTCTGGACGCGGCAAATCCGCCGGGAAACTTGCAGTTGACGCGGCTCTCCGGGAGAAAAAGGGCCGCCACGTCGTCAAGAAGCTGAAGAATGTCGTCCAAGGCGGCTCCTCACTTGCGAGAAACGTGGACGATGAAGAGTGGGTGGCGTCGCAGGCAGAAACCGACTTCGAGGAAAAGGAGGAAGTGTCGTTGACGTGGAAGTCGTCGAGGAGGGGAGGTGGAGCCCTCCTGATCGACGACGTTGGCGAAAGACGAGGCGGAGGAGGCGGCGCAGTAATGGAAGATGTGATCGACGTCGACGCCGCTGCGGCATCCAGGCGAGGTGGGGGAACTGTTGTCGCAAGCAACATCGCGCGCCAGTGCCAAGTGTGAACGAAGCCCCGGGCGCGCAAGAGGTTGTCGTCTGCGCGCGAACACCAAGAACCCCGCGGGCGACAACGGGCACAAACGTTGGCGCGAACGCGCAAGCCGTCGCTCAGGGGAACAACAACCGCTCTTCTGCGCAGGACCTGCGCGGGGCTGCATTAGGGGGGGCTGCGCACGCGGGGGAAGGGGCGAGGGCAGGCGGGGCCGCAACGGCGGGGGCC